GTCTTAAAATATTCAATAAACCATGCAGTAAACAGACATGCTCTCTCATCCAGTCTTGGTTGTTCCATTTATAGGGCACAAGCAAAATAGATTGGGAATGATTGTTAAGAGCCCTAGGATTTTTAAACTGGTAAATGAGCATTGACTTCAACTTAAGGTCACCAATGGCATTAGCCCCTAACAAGAGAGTCAGTCTATGTTTTGAAGCTTTGAAACCAGGCACTTACTTCTGTCTATCTATGAAAGTCTTAGATGACATCTTCTTCCAATATGACTATTTTGTCTACATTGAAAATATGTTCTTCTGTGTAGCCACCTTCATCAATTATTTTAGCTAGATCTTCTGGATAACTTGCTGTCACTTCTACATCAGCATTTGAAGCTTCACCCTCCACCATTATGTTATGGAGAGAACTTCTTTCCTTAAACCTCATGAACAAACTTCTGCTTGCTTCACACATTTCCTCTGTAGCTTCCTTACCTCTCTCAATCTTCATAGAATTAAAGAGAGTTCACAATGCAAAGGAAAATTGTGGACAATTGAATCTTTTCCAGAAGAGCCCTAGCTTTTGGCCTACCTTAGCTTCTGACATGCTTTCCTCACCAAACTTAACCATTTCTAGTTTTTGATTTAAAGTGAGAAACAGCTTACTACATGGATGATGAAAAAATCTGTACAAAAGTCAGCATGATACAAGTTTGCCTGTGTAACAAATCTGCACATATATCCCAAACTTAAAAGTTAAAAAAAAATAAGTGAGAAACATGTGACTCTCCTTTTCACTTGAATACTTACAGGCCATTGTAGGGTTATTTATTGACCTAATTTTAATATTTTTGTGTTTCAGGGCATAGAGAGGCCAAGACAAGGGAGAGAGACAGGGAAATGGCTGGATGATGGGGCAGTCAGAACACACACAACATTCATTGATTAAGTTAACCATCTCATATGAACAGTTTGTGGCACACCAAAACAATCACAATAGTAACATTAAAGATCACGGATCACAGATAACGAAAAGAGACATAATAATAATGAAAAAGTTTGAGATATTGTGAAAATTACCAAAACATGACAGAGAGACGTGAAGTGAGCACATGCTGTTGCAAAAATGGCACCAATAGATGTGCTTGATGCAAGATTGCCATGAATATTTAACTGTAAAAAATACAGTATCTGTGAAGTGCAATAAAGTGAAACACAATAAAACAAGTTATGCCTTAAATATACCTTAGGTATGCACTTAGGAATAAATCCAACAACATTTTGTACAAGATCTATATGATGAAACATAAAACATCCTGCTGAAAGAAATCAATGAATTAAATAAATGGATATTCCACATTCATTAAGAAAAATATAATATTGTCAAGATGTTCTTCCCACCTTGATCTATATTCAGTGTAATCCCAGTCAAAATTCCAGCAAATCATTCTGTGAATTTTGGTAAACTATGTCTAAAGTTTATGTGGAGAGACAACAAGAGACTTGCCAACACAATGTTGAAAGAGAACAAAGTTGAAGGACTAGTAATACCCAACTCTAAGACTTACAATAAAGCTACAGTAGTCTTACCATATGACCCAGCAAGTGAGTTTCTTGGTATTTACCCAAAACATTGAAAACTTACATCCACACAAAAACTTCACACAGATATTTATAGCAGTTTTATCCATAATTGCCAAAACTAGGAAGCAAACAAGATAATCCTTCAGTAGAGTGAAGGAATAAGTAAATGGTGGTACATTTTCATAATAGAATATCATTGAACACTAAAAGAAATGAACCATCAAGCCATTAAAACACATGGAGAAACCCGAAATGCATATTACTGAGTGGAAAAAGCCAGTCTGAAAACCCTAAATATTGTATGATTACAACTATATGACATTCTGGAAAAAGCAAAACTATGGAGGCAGTAAAAAAATCAGTGGTTGTCGGGGAATGTGGGGAAGGAGGGATGAATTAGAGGAGTACTTTTTAGGCCAGTGGAACTATTCTTTATTCTTTATGATATTATATTAATGGATACATGTCATCCTACATCTATGAAATCCATAAAATGTATACTAGGAGTGAACCCTAATGTAAACTATAGATAAAGACTGATGATGTATTAATGTAAGTTGATCAGTTGTAACAAATGAACCATTCTGATGTGGGATGATGATAGTAGGAGAGACTATGTATGTGTAGGGGCAAGGAGTATATGGGAACTCTGTACCTTTCACTAAATTTCTCTGTGAACTGCTCTAAAATATAACACCTATTAAAACAACAGCAGCAAGAAGGAGAGAGAGTTTCAAGAAGAAAAAATGGATCATTGCTTCTAAGAATTAATCTGGTAAGGGAAGAATGGTAAAGATTGAGAAATAAAAGAAATGAATCTTTATTTGCATTGAGTCTTTATTTGTATTCAAAGATCATGGAGTAGGTAATACCAAATAACAATAGATGTTACTTGTACAGATTTATGAAATTTTAAATGATGGCTTTCACATTTTGATTTGATTTGAATCTTTAATTATATATGATAGCTTGTGAAAGATATCTGCAAATTAAATATGAATATCTTAGAATAGGGTACCAAACCCATATCACATAATAGAACAATTGCCCAATTATGTTCCTGAGACAGAGTTGTAATTTCTAGAACAGATCAACCTAGGGGCTTTGTCTGAGTCCTGGTGGGGATTGAAACTCTATTTTCCACTGAATTTACCCTTAGGAATACAGATAGTCTCCAACTTATGATGGTTCAACATGCAATTTTTAGACCTTACAATGGTGCAAAAGTGATATGCATTCAGTGTGAACAGTACTTCTATTATGGTTTTGTGTTAGATTTTTCCCATAATGTAGGGTAATGGAAGTGTTCTGAGCATGTTTAAGGTAGGCTAAGCTAATCTATGACATCTGGTAGATTAGGTGTGTTAAATACATCTTTGATTTATGATATCTTCAACTTACAATAGAGCTCAACTCATTGTAAGTCAAGGAGTATCTGTATTTAAACTATGGCTGCTAGCTTCTCTCTCCTGGGGCAATCACTGTCCTATGAGGGCCTCAACACTGTAGTGGGTTTGACCTCTAGGAATTCCACCAGGTTCTCATGGTAAAGAGCCAAGAAAGATCACTTTGTGGTTCTGGGAATTTGAGGTGAAAAGTAATCATCGTGAAATATGCTCTGAGTGTTCTCCATAACAAAAGCCTACTTTTCGGATGAAAATAGTCTGCCAAAACCTCTGCCAAAATCACCTGAGGGAAAAGCATTTTCCTGACTCCAACCCAGCCTACCCCCTGCTCCTAGCCTACCCCCTTATCCCCAGCCTTCCTGTGTCACTTAAGGGATGTGAAAAGCTAAGAAACAGTTGTGAAGGACACAGGCCAGGGATACAGGCCCACTAAAAGAACCGAAATGTAATCATAAGATTATAGAAAGCTTCCCCTCTTCAGTATTTTACAACCATACCAACAGGACTCCGTTTAATAACAGTGGGTTATAGCTGAAATAACTGCAAGATGCAGACTCTATCAAAGAATTTCTTAAGAAAAGTCCAAAGAAAATAGGGGAGACAAAAAAATGACACTATAAAAGTTTTAAGCCTCTGGAATGCACAGCCATAGCAAATATTAAATAAAGCCCAACTCCTAGCTGGACTAATATAAATCCTCACACTAAAATATACTCACCTTACTTTCCATTACCTGACACACCTTTTTTTTTTTTTTTTTTTTAAAAAAAGAAACATTACAAGTCATGCTGAAAGGCAGGAAAAAGTACAATCTGAACAGACAAGAAAAACATCAAAAATCTGACTCGAGTATGGCATAGATTTTTGAATATCCTTAACCAAAATGCTTAGGACAGAAATATTTTTAGATTTTGGAATATTTGCACTATGTTTACCAGTTAAGCATCCCAAATCTGAAAATTCAAGATCTAAAATGCTCCAATGAGCATTTCCTTTGAACATCATATCAGCACTCAAAAGATTTGAATTTTGGGGTATTTTGAATTTTCAGATTTGGGATGCTCAACCTGTACCAGACAGAGAACTTTAAAACAACTATAAATAATACAAAAGGGCTATAATGCAAAAAGCTGACAATGTTCAGAAACACATGGATAAAGCAAGCAGAGGAATAAAACCCAAAGAAATCATCAAAAGGAAATCCTAGAAAGCAGAAACACTAACAGAAATGAAGAATGCCTTTGATGAACTCATGAACAGACCAAGCACAGCTGAGAAAAGAATCAGTGAACTTGAAGATAGAAAAATAAATTAGAAAAGAACATCCAAATACTGTGAAACAATTTTAAAAGGTATAATGTATAGGTAATTTTAATACCAGAAGGGAAAAAAAAGAAGCTTAAGTGAAGAAATATTTGAAGTAAAAATCGCTGAAAATTTTACAAAATGAATGGCAGACACAGTTTAGAGAACACTAAGCAGGACAAATAACAGCAAATATATAACTTTATATATTATATTTGAGCTGTAAAAAACTGAGGACAAGAAGAAAATCTTGAAAGAAGCCAGAGGAGGCCAGGTACTGTGGCTCACGCCTATAATCCCAGCACTTTGGGAGGTCGAGGCTGGCAGATCACTTGATGCCAGAGTTCGAGACTAGCCTGGCCAACATGGTGAAACCCCATCTCTACTAAAAATACATAAATTAGCCAGGCGTGGTGGTGCATGCCGTAATCTCAGCTACTCGGGAGGCTGAGGCATGAAAATCACTTGAACCCGGGGCTGGAGGTTGTAATGAGCTATTATCGGGCCATTGTACTCCAGCCTAGGCAACAGTGCAATACTCTATTTAAAAAATACAGAAAAAGAAGCCAGAGGGGGGAAATATATCCTTGCTTAGAGAGGAGCAAGGATAAGAATTATAATGCACTTTTTATCAGAAACCATGCAAACTAGAGTGGAGTGAAATATTTAAAAAGTTTTGAAAAAATAAAACCACCGACTTTGAATTCTGTATCCACCAGAATCATTCTTCAAAAGTGAGGGAGACATGAGCACATTCTCAGACAAATAAAAAGGAAAATTACATTGGTCCAGAAACTTGGAACTACATCAATAAAGGGAAAACACTGGAGGAGAAATAAATGAAGGTAAGATAAAATCTTTTATCTTTCTTATCCTTAATTTATCTAAAAGATAATTGTTTAAAGCAATTATAGTAATAAATTACTGAATGATTATAGCATATAAATAAGTGAAATGAATGATAGCAATGTCATTGAAAATGGGAAGAGGAATTGGGAATAATCTCTTACAAGGTACTTCCCCTACAAGTGAAATGGTAGAGTACTATTTTATGTTAAACTTAGAGTCATTAAAAATATATATCGCAAACTCTAGGGTAACCGCTGACTTTTTTTTCAAGAAAAGAGAGGAGATAAAATGGAGCTAAACGAAATTCTCAATTAAATTAGAGAAAGCACAAAATAAAATGAGTGGGAACAAATAACAATAATACAAATAATAGAAGACAGTTACAACATGGTAGATACTAATCTAGCTTCATCAATACTCTCTTTAAATGTAAATGATCTGAAATGCTGCACGTTCTCACTTATAAATGGGAGTTAAACCTTGGGTACTCATGGACATAAAGACGGCAACAGTAGACCAGGGACTACTAGATGGGAAAGGGCGGATGAGAGTTGTAAGGCTCTTGGGTACTATGCTTAGTACCCAGGTGATGGGATCATTTGTACCCCAAACCTCAGCATCACACAATGTACTCAGATAACAAACCTGCACATGCACCTTCTGAATTTAAAATAAAAGTTACCAAAAAAAAGCAAAAATTAAAATAAATAAATAAATTAATATGAATTATCTGAATACACCACTTAAAGGACAGAGATTGTCAGAGTTGGATTTTTTTGCAAACACTACCATATGTTGTCTACAGGAAAGCCACTTTAAATATAATGGCACAGATTGGTTAAAACTAAAGAGATGGAGAAAGATATGTCATTACACTAATCAAAAGAATGCTGAAGTCGCTATACTAATTTCAAACTAAGCAGACTTCAGAACAAGAAAACATGTCAGAGATAAAGAAAGGCCTTAAATAATGGTAAAGGGGTTGATTTGCCAATAAGACAGAACAATCTTTAATGTGTATATAATTAACAACAGAGTATAAAAATACACGTGGCAAAAATTTATGGAACTGCAAGGAGAAATAGACAATCTACTCTTATAATAGAAGACTTCACCACACCACTTTCAGTAATTGATAAATCAAACAGGCCAGAAAGTAAGGACATAGTTAACTTGAACAGCAGCATCAATCAACTGCATCTAATTGACATTGATAGAATACTTCATCTAATAGCAGCAGAATAAACATTCTTTTCAAGCTTACTTGGAAAATTCACCAAGATAGACCATATTCTGTGTTACAAAACACATCTTAATAAATTTAAAATAACAGAAATCATATAAGGATGCTCTGAGATCACAGTGGAATTAAGCTAGAAATCAATAAAAGAAAGACGGATGGAAAATGCCAATGTATTTGGAAATTAAACAGCACACTTTTAAATAACACATAGGTCAAAGAAGTCTTAAGGGCAATAAAAAATATCCTGAACGAATAAAAATGAAAATAAAATATTAAAAAGGATGGGATACAAAACAAGCAGTGCTTAGAATGACTTTATTTATTTATTTATTTATTTTAAACAGGGTCTCACTCTGTCACCCAGGCTGGAATACAGTGGCATGATCACAGCTCACCATAACCTTGACCTCCCAGACTCAGATGATCTTCTCACCACAGCTTCCTGAGTAGCTGAGATTACAGGTGCCCGCTATCATGCCTGACTATTTTTTGTAATTTTTGTAGAGACGGGATTTTTGCCATGTTGCCCAGGCTGGTCTCGCCTGGGCAACAAGTGATCCACTCACCTCAGCCTCCCAAAGTGCTAGGATTACAGGTGTGAGCCACAGTGCCCGGCCTAGAGTGACATTTATAGCATAAAATGCAAATAATTAGAAAAAAAGAAGGATCCCAAATAAGTAATCAAAGCTTCTGACTTAGGAAAATACAGAAAGAGCAATTTAAGCCTAAAGTAAATAGAATGAAATAATAGAAATTAGGGCACAAATGTTTGAAATGATCAATAACTTTGCTATACCTTTAAGTAATCTAATCAAGAAAAAAAGACAAAAATTAACAATATGAGAAATGAAAGAGGGGTCACAACTACTACTGTTCCTACTGACATTAAAAGAATAATGAAAAAATACTACAAACAACTCTATGCCCACAAATTTGATAACTTAGATTCAATGGACCGTTTTTTTGAAAGGCAAAAACTAAAGAAGAAAGAGATAAGTTCATTCAAAAAGAAAGAGATAATTTTAATAGTCAAAAGAACACAGAAGGCAACTGAAAGGATTTCCAATAACTAAAGGTGTAACAATTTCAACAATAAAATCACCAGTGTTGAATTATGACCGAACTATAATATATTCAAACTATAATATACTGAACTATAATAATGTTATGTAATATACTCATGAATGTTCATCCATGAGTCTACACTGATATAAGACATTGTTAAATAAATAAATAAGTGGACTAAAAGAGATAAATTTATCATTCAGATAAATTCTAAATAATTTCTGTATATTCTCCACCCTAAATGAAGTGAAGCATAACTTTCCATTACTGAAGTATGAGCTGCTCATTGTGACATCTTTCCAAATAATACAGTATGGAAAGAGGGAATGAAGAGAGTAACTTTACAGTGAAGAATTCTTATAAATATTCCTTCAGCTAGGTGATCAAGAATAACATCAACAATTATGTCAGCATGTTGATAGTATGTACCCTTTATACAATGTGATGAAAAGGGTAACATACTTCCGTGATTGTTCCCAAAAGACTCATCCTCAGTTTAATCATGAGAAAAACAACAGCCAAATCACAATAGAGAGTCATTCTGCAGAATACCTGATCAGTACTCCTTTAAATGGTGAAGGTCATCAAAACCAAGAAAAGGAGCTTAAAAAGACATGACAACTAAATGTAACATGATATCTTGGTCCATTTGTGCTGGTGTAACAAAATATTTATTTCACACAGTTCTGGAGGCTAGTAAGTCCAAGATTAAAGCCACCAGCAGGTTGCATGCTGGGCAAAGACTGCTCTCTGCTTCCAAGATGCTGCACTCTCTGGAGGCAAGGAATGCCATGCTCTTAGAAGAGCAAAAGAGCAAAAAGAGCCTAAACTACTTGCCTGCAGCTCTTAAGGCACTAATCCATTCATAAGGGTGAATAATAATGTGTCAATATTTGTTCATTAGTCATAACAAATATACCATACTAATGTAAGATGGTAATAATAGGCGAATGTATATGTTTATGTGGTTGGGGGGACATGGGAATTCTCTGTAGTATCTCTGCAAGTTTTTTTTTTTTTTTTTTTGAGACAGAGTCTTGCCCTGTTGACCCGGCTGGAGTGCAATGGTGCACTCCACTGTGTCCAGCCTGCAATCTTTATCTAAATCTAAAACTGTTCTACAAAAGAAAGTTTATTTTTAAAATAATGACTCTTCAATGCTTGGCAATCTTACTTGATGAAAATTATTTTCCTTTGAACATGGTCACGTCAAATGTTATTTACTCAAGTTGTCCTATAATAGAATAGGGACTGTATCAGTTTCCTAGGGCTGCCATAACAAAGTAACACAAACTGGGTGGCTTAAACACCAGAAATTTATTGTCTAACCATTCTGGAGGATAGAAGTATGAGATCAAAGTGTTGGCAGGGTTGGTTCTTTCTGAGGGCTGTGAGAAAGAGTCTGTTCCATGCCTCTTGCCTCACTTCTTGTGGTTCGTTGGCAATCTTTGACATTCCTTGGCTTGTAAATTCATCACCCTGATCACTGTTTTCATCTTCATATGGCATTCTCCTATGTGCATGTCAGTCTGTGTCCAAATTTCCTTTTTATAAAGATACCAGTCACATTGGATTAGGCTCTACTCTAATGACCTTCTCTTAACTTGATCACCTGCAAAAACCCAATTCCCAAATAAAGGTCACAGTCACAGGTAATGGGATAATACTTTCAACATCTTTGGTGGGGAGACATTACTTAATCCGTAACAGACAGTCTTTGAATCCAAAATGTCCATTTGTTCATCTAGAAAGTCACCTCACTCATTGAGTGCCTCATAGGAGAGTGGTAGTGCTTGGATAGTGCTAATATTTTCTAACAACACTGTAACTTATATTTACTGCGAGTGACATGGAATTAACTATCTGGGCCTTTTATAAAGCCAATCAGATTTCAGGCTTTACTACATTTGCACTGACACCATCATAACTAAATCTATAGATATAACTTTCAACTACTTCTTAAATTGCCAAGAATTTTTAAGCTCAAGTGAGCTTACATTGGACTTGCATATGCATATTTTTCTCTTCTTGTCCCTGTTCTACCTCTTCATCTTCCCCACTTTCAACTATATTTAAAAGACAAAGTGTCCAAATATGTTCATAAAGCACAGAAGTGAACAATCAGGAATAATTCTTTCAAAACCTAGTTCAAAGAAATTCGGTCTTCCCAGCCAAGCCTTTTGGAGATACTATGTAGCAGCATCTAGGCACATTCTATCAAGTTAGATTATGGACTCCTCAACCAACCAGATTCATAAACTCACTTATGTGGACATTTACTATATTCCCCTCCTGGTCATAAGTATTATAAATAAGTAAAATATGCATGTTAGAGAATATGTTAAATGTTACAAGTGTTTGGGAGAAAAATAGGGCATAGAAATAAATATGAAAGGATGTCAGACTGTGAAATTTTAGATAGGGTATCCAGGAATGGTCTCGCTGAGAAGATAACTTCGGAGTAAAGGACAAAACAGAATAAGGAATTCAGATACATAGCTATCTGCAGGGAGACAACTGATGATGTTCCAGGCAGAGGGAACAACTCAAGTGAAAGCACCAAGAAGGGAACATGCGTGGAATGTCTGAGGCCAAGGTAGCTGGAAATGAGAGAGTAAAAGGACAAATGTTAATACATGAAATCAAAGAGATATCAGAGAATCAGATTATGTAGGTGGTTGTTTAACA